GCAGTTTTCGATCTAGTATAGGAGTTGTGGAGATTATTAAGTTTTTGATTGAGATCTTGAACCAATTGATGTTAGACCATCACAATTGAAAACCTGGAAGCACTGGACGGCCGTTTCGTCCTATTGTGGGACTCCTCAGCAGTGCGCATTCACGACCCCGCGAGCGGGATTCGAACCCAGGGCCTTCGGTCTATTAAAAAGGCAAGCCGTTTCGTCTACCGATGATGTACAAATCTCATGGATCTACTTAGAACTTCATTTCATAATGTCAAGTGCTGTTAATATCAATTTACGTTTCCTACATCTCTACAGATTACAAAATGTTCCGTCGATGCTTCCTTAACAATCTCGGATGTTAAAAAAACTTGTTTTTTGTGTTTTTCCAAGTGATAATTTTTTTACTTCCAGGTTTTTCATGGTGGTCTAGCTTCAAATGACTCATGATCTCAACCATTGAAATTACTATAATAACTCATTGATAATGTATCTCAGTTTCCAAATTGTTATCCATATTACTAAACTGTCTAAATAACTATTTTTGGACAATATCTTATTGGCGAAATAATCAAAATTGGTAAGACAAGTAGATTTCCAGTATACTTTTATATTGGTTGAAAATACGCTAAAACATCTTTACTTTTCAAGTATCAATACCAAGGTTGGACCTGATAGTTTCAAATAAATTGAGCATTGGGTAGATAATCCTTCTGAAGAAGTGGATTACATTAAGTCACGAAACATCGTCAGAAATATAATTTTTCTACTTTTTAGGACATAGCAAAACATATATTTATTATCATTACTTTTGTTATATTATACAGAAGGTTAAGTAATAAAAATCTATTAAGTTTTAATTAATAGTTGAATAACAGTTATTACTCATTAGCTCAAACTATCATCTATCTTTTTATCAATGGATTAGGGCATTTCAATTAATTCTCAATAGGAACATATTGATTACTACCAATAGTATTTTAAATTTGATCCAGAGGTCTATTAATGACTGACTGATTACAGTAGGTTGGAAGAAGACATGACATTAGTTCACTAAGTTATTAACCACTTGACTGAGTTGTCAGGAAGTTCAGATTTCTTGGTTGGGGTTCACGCGAGAATCATTATTAGTAATCGAAGATCTCAGGTAACATCTCTTGATACACCAGTATTCACTTTTTGCCTTCCTTTAGATCCTGTTTCAACAATACTTCATACTTCAAGTTCCTCGGTTTTCCAACTCCTGTGATTTTTATCGAGTCAGCTTTCTTCGTCTTTGGGGTAATCTAGGAACTTTGACGGATGTATATTTGTTTTAAATGCTTAGTTGGTCATGGATACCTGACTAAACTCATTAATCAAATGAGGGAAGTATTACGCGAAGTTAAAGAACAGGTGTAAATTAGATTAACCAAGCCAAATTAAAATACATTATATGTAACGTCTAAGGTAGTCATGCTTTAAATAAGAAACTATCATTTTACAACAACCATTAGTAAAGTTGAAGTCAGAGATGAAAAACTTACCACTAGACTGAGAGTATTTAGTAAAACCCAGAAAAAGCCTATCAGATGACATTTGCTATTACGATTCATTTATAACATATAGTGTTGTCTCCTCAAAAATGAAAAATCAGTAGATCGTACGAATCTTTAGAACGGTTACATTCCGTACGATTGATTTCACCGTGCTATTCAGATCAGGCAGACGTTTTGTATAAGTGTGAAATAAATAATATTTAAGTGACAAGTTCGAATCAATCATGATAGTTATTGCGATTTGAATATTAATAACAAACAAGCTTTAATAAAGAAATCGATCGGATGACCTTAACTAGAAAATTAGTGAGGACCACGAATCAACGGATTAGTTGTTATATCCAAGAACGGATTCTCACAGCAGTGCATACTCATGATGTAACCATAGACTAAACACGTGAATTCAAGGGTTCACATTATCGATCTCAGTTAAATCACGGAGTTAGTTAGTGATGAGATAATGACAGTGTACTGCTGTCCTTAATACATATTTCAAGAGTACTTTTATACTTTATTTAAGATGTTAAACTGAAAATATTTTGTCTACTAAAGACATTTATCATGGTCCTTACCGACAAATGCCATACATTTATGGTTAAAATGTTATCTTTGTTTCTCAACTTTTATTTTGCCTTCTAGCATATTTGTTCGAATTATTAAATATTCGATGTGATTTATTTATGCTTTAATTATAATTTAATTTATAATGATTAGCACATCTGGCTAACATGTATTAAATAGGACGAAACACGAGTTCTGAATTTGACTGGTATATACATCATATCTATTTTATCAATACTTGTGTGGTGTGGGCTACTGATGTTAATAGGTATAAGCAGTATGTATCATCAATCGAAAATGAAATACCTGGCGAAAGAAGGTTAAGATCGAAGAAAAGAGAACCGGAACAGAGTATAATTAGTGTGGGAATGAAGGAACAATAAAGTCTGAGACAATTGATTGATATTTTGTAAATGAAGTATTTACTTTATGGTACTCAGATTTTACTGAGATACTGTAATTTTGTGTTCAAATACATTCGATTGTCTCCACTTGTGTTCTCGCTCACTGTAATACTAATAAAAATTCATATATGCAGTGGATGAGAAAACAACATGTATAATTGTAATACACAAAAGAAATAAGCAAACGTAAAATCTTTCATCTCAAAAGAAGTGATAGTAAGCAGTTCAAGTTTTGTAGTGTCTAACATTGGGAGTTATGAACAATAATTCAGATAGTGAATGATTATGTAAGGTAACATGGCAGTGATGATTTTCATAGTTTTTGTGTAGCTTCGTCATACTATCTTAATGAAGAATGTGTTGCACGAAGTCAAACCTTGGCACCAGTACAACACATTGATCAAACGAAATCAAAATCTAGCGGCATTATTATTGACTTGATTCAATATAATATTTTTGGTGCAATATAGAATTCTCAGCACACGATATTTCAACAAGTTCCGTTTACAAAAAAGGGGAAAAAATGAAAGAAATTGATAAGTGCATACATATATACATAAGTCAAGTAGATAAACTACTTGGAATTAAATGGAATGTTTTCTTTTAAAGATTTGAATCTGTACAACTTTTTTATATGATTAGAAACATGTTTAAGAATACAATTTATTGATATGTCAACTCTAACAACCTATTCGTCGCATAGTATATTTACTAGATAAGTTGTTGTAGAGCTTTTATACCTTTGCTTGAGTGCATAGATTCTAAAGTATTGACGTCACGTTCTATCAGAGGATATATACAAGGAGAAAGACATGGATGAAGTGGACGGTTAGAATCTGATAAGATAGCTAACCATCTACTTTAACGTTTCTGATAAACTTCTAACAAATGGAAATTAGTCACACTCGAATAATCTCAAATCTATAATGCTATGAAACAACAAATACTTAACTAATCATAAACAGTTTTATAAAATATCCAATATATATATATATATATATATATATATATATATATATATATATATATATATATATATATATATATATATATATATATATATATATATATATATTGAAAACAGGTAGTGCAATATAGAATATTAGTCTGGCCGTTCCACCCAATCGACTGAATGGCATATGATGCATGCACGGACATACACTAATCCGGCTTTGTATTTTCATGGGTAAAATTTGTTGATCAATAATTATTTAGAGCAGATACTATTTTTCATGTAAGTGAGATGAATAAGATATTCAAAGAGTACACACAAACACAGAATACGATCAATATAGAGCAATCATAAACAATACATCCAAGAGCCAAATAATGTAGTAATTAAGCATTGTTATTTAAATTTCGAATTTCACTAACACTGACTAAAGGGGGGTGGACAGACGGTTCAAACTCAAAGATGGATATGAAGAGAAAAGTGTATAACCTAAAAAATCTTACCTATAAAATTTTTAACATTTAGAGTAAGCTTAACAAAACCTATAGACTCATAGAATTAAATAATGCTATTAAGCCATAGTGAACAGTAATGTTTTTTTTGGAAATTAAGTGTCATAAATATTGTTGATACAAACAAGATCAGTTTTAAGATCTCGTTTTATGCTTCTCAAAATTAATTTTAACATAGAAACTTTAAGTTATACTAGTTATTTTATGGTTATGAAAAGATTTTGCATTTTTCTTATAAACGAAGCCAACAAGAAATTGTAATAATCATAAATGTGTATAATTTATTTTTTCTTGAACACATAAATATTGGTATAAAGGAGCACCGAATACAATGAAAGAAAATTCTCTCAATGTATGAACTTATTATTATTATCACTATTATTATTTAAACACATAAAAATTAGTACAAAGAGGCATCGAATAGATATGCACCACATAAATCATTCGATTTGTGTGTGGGCTGTGATACTGCTCGGGTGCTCAGATCAAGGCAGGTGGTTTTCTCAGGGGGTCACACTCCGAGACTCGAACCTAAAGGTCTAATACATAAGACAGTGGAGCAACGTAAGGAGATGGAGTCCTATGGTAACCGGTGACCAACAATTAGTTCATACACGATTTGTTCCTTCAGGATGCTGGAGCCAGCCCATATATACCATCGGTTTGGAATAAGGGTTTTCTAACTCCCTTAGGCAGAACCTCCATATCCACCAACCCGGTCAAAGCGCCGGACATTCGCTTCTCGTTCTTTCAATTTCGTAAACAACGGCGATGTTGCGAGAAGGCAGTGAGTAGAACTTCTCTAACAGTGGTTGTATACACGTGGCCATGTGAAAGCATCTTGTGAGGAAGAGCAGAGTCTCCCCACCCCCGGTCGTACCAGGGCGTTTGGGCGAGTATGTGTCGGAGGTGGGATTCGAACCCACGCCCACATCGTGAACCAGAACATCCAGAAGAACACTTCTGAGTCTGGCGACTTAGACCGCTAGGCCACTCCAACGTATAGTTTAAATATGTCCACAAAAAGAAAGCTAATTTACAGTAAGAAATAAATAGTATATTTATTATTTACACACACAAGAAAGCTGGTAGAATTGGTTATTGAGGTAATAATTAGGTTTAAATAACTGTATTTATCATTAGAAGAAAAAGAAGGAAATAGAGACTGGAATCAGACATGAAGGGAATTCTAAAAATAACAACAGGTATAATACTGATAAGTATAAGAAAAAAAGTATTCAAAATATGATACAATTTTAGCTCACAAGGACAATAGAATATGTTATTCTAGTAGTGTATCAGTAAATCAATTGTACCTATTTCATATTAACTGAAGCGTACACAGAAAAAGTAGAGTATACATACTAATTTGAACACCTCCCTAAAGTTATTCATTAACTGGAATCAAACAACAGACGCAAAATAAAGTAGTACTGTGCAGACAATAGAGTGGAGTGGAGACAAAAAGATTATAAAGCTTTAAAACATGAATAAAAACGTAGCAAATACAGAAAGATATTGAGAATGATAATCCAAAACACAGTACTGAGTCTATTAGATAGGGAGCCCTAATGAAATTAGAAAACATCATGTACACATTATATAGTTTGATAAAATTCTAAGTATAAAGATTAACGCACTAGAAAGGTTTAACTGAAATGAGAGTTGTGCAGTTGAATATACATCTAAGTATTAGTAATAATTAGAACCTATAAAATCTGGTCACACAAAAAGGTAATCAGGTATTTGGACAGAAGAACATGTATGCATGTATTAGTGTTAAGGTAGTATGGATTGGGGCCTGTGTAAATTACGACTTAGTACTGAACGTACATCGCTCACAAACCTAAGAGCATCCAATACTGGTAGCAGACATAGAAGGGCTGTATCACGTGAATCGGAAAACCACGACCGAATCGGAATAGCATTATCTGTAGGCATTAAAATAAAGATGGATAAGCATCAAAATAAGAGATAAAAATAAATTTACTAAATCCATGCATTCACTAGGTATTTGAGTATAAGAATTAATGATACAACCCAGCTACCCAAACAGAAGTGGGTAGAGCGGGGTATGAACTTGAGACTTAGTGAATGGAAGCCGAGCCATTTGACGACTACTACACGACAAAAAGAGACAATTACTAGTAAAAGTCCAATGACTCTAAACAAATAAATAAACGAAAAGAATATTGATAAAACAGATGAGTTGTGGCTAGGAGTTGGATCCAGAACCCACATTTCGACCTGTTTGGGATTCATCAGATGGATGGATAGCATCCTATCGTTGATATTCACACTGGGATTTTATTACTAACAATTAATCTAAAATGAATAACTTATGTCATCATGTTTATATCGAGGTAATCCATACATGATGCACATACACCAACAAATACTGATCAAAGTCCAGTCCTGAACATCAACAAGATAATTCAAACTATTCCTAATAAAGATATAAGCATATTAATATTTCTCAACTGAAAGACAAACAAAGCAGTAAAAATACCAATTTTAGAAGAACGTATAGGTGTTAACAACGATATGTAACCAACCGTTATCATAACGTAGTGGCACAGTTACTTTTGCCAACGAAATAACTTTATCCCTATATCCAAACAGTACACCATGAAGTTATTTATCAAATGACCGTATCAAATAAAGTGTTTGTAATGACACTCCCTTAATTCACTTCTGAGATCGACGGCATAGTGATAGATGACAACTAAATATACTTGGAAAGCTGAGTAAAAGACTTCAAAAGATATTTTAACTGATTTACCGTCGTAGAAACTGGTCAAAATATGTTGAGCAAATTTGATAGCTGAGCGTTAATATACTCGATGATTCAAGTGTTTAGAGGAAGTTTCAACTAATAAGGTGGTACAGTACATCGGAACTAAAGAACCATTTTCAAGCTTTTTTTTTACAAAGATGGATATATTTCTGTCGAGGAAGAGAGACTTGATCATTTGAAAATATCTGGTATGTTTTAATGAAATTAGTGAAGTTTATGTGTGATTAGCAGTTTGTATTTACATTTCCAACAGTAGAAACCTAGGAGTATATATTTAGTTATAATTAGACCTTTGTCGTATTCATTTTAAAAAGGGTAGGGATCTGATATAAATTGTATGGAATATTTACTTTCGTCATACAGTGTAGATCTGTGAGAAACGCGTGAAAGACTACCAGCTAAAAACAGACTATTTCATTTAAATGCTGTGCACATTCATTACAACTCCGCCTGGGGCCCCTCCGAGGGCTACTGACGGTCCCAAGCCCGAGTAAAAGAGGAAGGCTGGGCATGGGGTTAGCGACCCCATCCCGTAGAAAACTAACTCGCCAAAAAAAGCGCTAACCCTTCACAAGGTGGTTGATAACACTCATGCAATGATTGTTATTTGATATAAGAGTCGCTTTACTTTTGTTGGACAGAAATGTCTTCTGATACTGGATACAAATGAAAGTGTCGTTGAATCAATCGTCAACATACTGAAAGTTCTTTGAATAAACACAATGTGGGAGTGAGGGCTTAATAACATCATTTTCATTCGTCTGTGATAACATACTCATTACATACATTGCGCTTAGCTTGCCATCAGCGACAGTGCGTATAGTAATTACTTCGCATTACTGAAGTTTATAACACTAACATGACAATGTATATGCATTGATTACTTGCGATTAGTCGTTGAATAGAATCAGAAGAACCTTACTTCTAGAAGGTTGTATCATGGTGTAATGAGTTATATATTTTCCTAGTAAAAATTAGGGTGAAATACATCAATACAAGCAATCTTTGTTATCACTGTCCCATTGTTAATAGATGGACGAAACTCAACTACAGGTTATTTAACCGACTCTTCGTATGTCGAAAATAAAAATTGTCTGACACGGACGTGAGATCAGATTGCAAAAATTATTAAACAAACGTTTAAAAAACGATTCAAATTTGAAAGAACCTTAAATTTCCTTCGAAAACAAGATAGACAACAGATGAAGTTGAAATATAGTAATGAATTACACAAAATTACCAGGATATGATCGATAGGCTCCTGGAGAATTGTCTAATATGAATACAGAAGCCATATCAGATGTAATTAGGGAAAGATTCTTTGAATAGCTGCCATTATCATATGTACAATGCTAAAACAGTAGATAAACAACAAAAAAAACCAAATAAGCGCTTTCTTAAGGTACCAAGACATTCAACAACATAGAAACGAGAGACTCAATTAGTTATAAACAACCGAGGACCTGGCATAAACGTGCTAAGGTCCAAATCACTAAACTACAAAAGTTAGCAAACGATTTACATTTATTAACACCGAAACATTATGGCTTTCAGTCTTACATCTATTTTAAAGATAGACATATGGTCCTAGAGTAACTTATGAAAGCGGATGACCAGAAATATTATTTTTTTGTCTTAAGTGGAGTCTAAATATGCTTATTGTAAACTTTTTATGTACCGAAACTAGACAATTCTTGAACGGTTGGTTTAATTTCATTCAATGGTAAAATGACACGTAGAAGCTCTGGTTTTCCTAGTAACATTGGGTTTTCATTAAATTGTTCTACAGTGCAGAAAACCTCTATGAGAAATATAGACATTTATTATCAGCAATTTAGATTCACAAATAACCTGAGAACTCGCAAGTACAGTAAATTGGTTGTTTTCTATTTAACTGGTACCTTTTTACTTTTATTTCTCATTAAACATAACTGAAGACAATAAGTCCTCAGATATCGTATAGAATGGACTACCAAAGAAAGGTATTATGTTAGGGTGGTTAATTTATGTTAAAACGTTTATACTGGCTGAGTACAGGTCAAGTAAACACACACCAATTAACTTATCTGAGATGAATAAAAAGGTAACATAGACATAATCATAACGTGCCTACCAGATTCACATAAAATTAGATAACTCATACTCTCCAAGGTTGTTACTTTCATTCAGATTGTAACTATTTAAACTTAAACCCAGTATTCCAACGCGCTAAACATTCCTAGTTGGCAACATAAGGCTATGTCGTTAGTTGTTCTCCTTCAACTGTTTTTTTAGAGTTCTTTGTTCAAAAACGAGGTGACTGGACAATAAATACAAGACGATTGTCACCCATTATAATTTTGTTTTGTAATCGACTATTGTGGGGTGTGAAAGTCTAAGACAAAAACGTGGTTTTGTTGATTGGGTTGGTGATGAGCACGAATGATCATCTTAAGAAAAATGGAAATCAGGAATGCTACATGGTAACAATTTAATCTAACATACATGTAGAATATAAGTGATATTGTAGGGGAATGATGGTACTTGGCTGATTTCAACTCCACATGTGATCACACTTCACGCAAACTCTTCAGAGTTCGAAATGAGGGATACTATCCTAGAGATCATATGGGATCGATCCTAATAATCTTTAGAACTGAGTTTTCATAGGATAGAAGTATAGATCCTCCACTGAGGAATAATTCGCCAAATAGATCAATATTTGCAACTTATATATCTATTTGTACAATGTTGTCGATTTATAGATCTTGAAAGAGGAATTGATCCCACATCTTTTGATGGATATCAAGAAGAATAGAATTTGTTTTAAATTTTACACTAATTTTATTACCGAACAAGCAATTATGGACCTAACGCTGAAATGGAAATAATTTTCTCAACAATAACCAACCTGTCTGTAAAATCGTCTCTGAAGAATATGGCGTCCATTGTCGAGCAACTCAGTTACTCCTGCTCCGTAAATTTCAAGACTAGCTGTATATATTACAAGTTCGTACCACTGGCTTATCTAAAGAGAATCATCAAAATTAGAACAGGCTATTAAATTCAGAATTCGTAAATATTACTTAAGTTTTAGTAGGGGGTAAGAATTTTCATAATAATTTAATCAATAAATTATGCGGCAAGTAATAGAACGACAACAATTAGAACTTAATGAGTTACATACCTAAACTTTTTACGACATAAGTTGAAGTGGTCAAAGTCAGGAGGAAATACACTGGGAACCTTTAAATTATCAATTGACAAAATCGGTGACCACAAAAAATCCCTTAGAGTCATTACAATCGAAAGGTTTGTGAACTATCTGTCTTGTGGATTAAACATCTAAGCCAAAGGCTCAGGGATTGGCCTCTTAAGGAAACCACTTGCTTCAGTCTAAGCACCCGAGCAGTATCACGACCCTCACACAAATTAATGATAACTACTGCTGGCCTCATTGTTACTGTGTGGAGCATATGTATTTGGTGCCCCTTATACCCATGTTTATGAGATCAAATAATAAATAAAATAAATACAAGGAGAAGTAAGACCTGAAGCGAAAAAGAACCTGCATGGACAAATATCTTAGTAAGGTGGGGACAAAGAAGACTTTAGGCTCAAAACCCGTGTTATACAGAACTCCAAGGACAATCTTGATCTTAATTTCACGTTTTGTGATTAATTGACCTACCTAAAGCTTCCAAAGTTATCAGTTTCGTCACACGCAGATAGCACGAAGACATGGGAAGTAAAACGAAATGCAGGGAATATTATAAGGTTTCAAACAGACCGATAATTAGTGAATGCTAATAAGTCCTGTCAAGAGCATTATGATCCCTACTAGTCAGTGATTTGTGGATAATTACATAATTATTCACCGTCGATCAAAAACCCACAACGGACCATAAAACACTTCAAAACAACTGGATTGCAAGTGGTTCTACAGTCGCACTCATAGGATACTTTGGGCAGAATACATGCCGTTTGATAATTTATGTCAAAGCGTTTACGATACTGAGTACAGTAACAGTTTGTCTAAAGCTCAAATATAGTAAATATAGAGGTAATTATTTTAAGCAAACTTGACGGGAACTGTCTTCAGAATTTTCAGGCTTTCGGGTGGTACTTTATTCAGATAAATCTGTTATCATATAGAAGGATCCGAGGTGGACTAATCACAGTTTTTGGATTACTTATTAACCACATCGGTATTATCATAACCTTGCCTACTTGTCTACCAATATCAAAAACATATAAGGATGCCAAAAGTCGTAATGAGTCCCCTAATAATTAAAATACCCCATTTTCAAAGGTGACAGCAGCTCCATCCTTAAACTTATCTAGGAGAACAGACCAAGTGAGAGCTATGTTGTCAGGACTAACATAAACACGACTTAGTATACACATATAGCAGGAAAAGTAGTTTGAGCATTAGTATCATAAATCACAGTATGACTCATAGAATTGTAATACCTTTAAGGATACTTAAACTAGGTATTTGGAAACTGATATAGACCTACTTACATGCATTTAGCTGATAAGTGAAGAAAATATACGTTAATAAGGATATAAATGCGTTACTTTGAAGCCTTTGAGAAAAACACAAAATCCGATATTAAAAAACTTACCACATTGAGGAAAAAATCAACATGCGGTCGTTTATGAACGGAGAAGCGAACAGGATGATGGTCAATAAAAACTTTGAGGACGAAATCTGGAGGTGTTCCTGGTCTGACCGTTGGCCGCATTATCCCATCGTGTACTGAATGAATCAGTGTCTCATCCAAATCTAATACCATAACTTTTCGTCTTAATGTACCTGAAGGAAAGAAATAAAGTTAGAACTTTTATACGTCCGAAATTATAAAACATTTTAATCGGTAATTTTACTTATTGTCATTAACAACATACAGGGATAATCTTAAATATTCAGAAAATGATATAAGATGTAAGTCATTTATCGAGCTTTTAATCACATTACATGTAAACTAACGACGACACCATGCTGACCAGACAGAAGTCGATGTAGCAGGACACATACCTGTAACATTATGGTTGGAAATGAGATACCGATCATTAAGCCACCACTCTATATTTTAATTAAATTAATGTACTATTTATTAGTGAACGATTTCTGATATCACATGGTAAGGTGGTATCTACAGGCACATAAACATTGGTACAAGAAGGCACCAAACAGATATGCAGCACAAATAATTCGATATGTGTGACGGCTGATATACTGCCCAGGTGCTTGAACCGAAACAGGTGGTTTTTTCAGGGGGTCACACTCCGAGACTCGAACCTAAAGGTCTAATCCACAAGGCACAGGAGCAACCAAAGGGGATGAAGTCCCATGGTAACCGGTGAAAACAATTGGTTCATACACTATTCGTTCCTCCAGGATACTGGAGCCAGACCATATGCACCATAGGTTTGGAATAAGGGTTTTCTAACTCCCTTAGGTGGATCCTCCATATCCACCAACCCGGTCAAAGCGCCGAACATTAGCTTTTCTTTCTTTCAATTTCGTAAACAACGGTGATGCCGCGAGAAGGCAGTGAGTAGAACTTCTCTGACAGGTTGTATACACGTGGCCATGTGAAAGCATCTTGAAAGGAAGAGCTGACTCTTCCCACTAGTGGCGGACCAGAGGCGCCCTATGCCTAATTCACACACGCAGATTCAGTCAGGAATTGAAGAGGGGGGTTGATTATGAATACAGTGGTCTTGAGTGCTGTTAGAGGCATGAGGGCGGTTATTATTTCCCGGTCGCCCACATCGTGAAAAGGGTTCTTTTGGAGGTACCTGAAAAGGAAACTGGATTAGAGGTGGTCTTAGTGACCTGAGAGCGTGACCGCAGTGCTCAAGGGACAACGGCTTGAGGTCAATCACACATGACCTTTTTATGAGTAATTTTTGTGTTAGCTCCATACTTGTTGAGACCATACCGCCAGAGACGGATATCCGTGGGATAAGGCGAGATGTGCATTTTTAGGGTCGACCTTTGCTAACGACACCCCTCTTTGTGGGAAGGCAGCATCGCTGTTATGCTGGTTGTCTGAAGGAAACACCTTACTGCCGTCACGCCTCTGTACAGTCGGCAGTACGACTTCGCCTTCGGACCTTGGGTTTGTTGCTTTTTAACCGACCTGTCTGACATGGTAAAACCTTGAGGAGCGGTTGTTCCAGCCAATATAGCTCGGTTGCTTCATCGCGATAAGCAAGCCCGACCACCACGTCAAGGTAGCAACAACGGTCGGAACAGACGCAGATTGGGTGCTTTCGATGTTAAAGTGACATTTACACAACATCGAGATAAAAAGACCTTGGCAAACTTGCTGTTTGAATGAATAGTCTTAAAGGGATGAAACACCTATAAACTCATTGTTCACCTAGTGGTATTACGAATGGTGAAAATAATGGATTATCCAGAAAACGAGAAGGGGTCTATCGCTCACTAAAGTGCGCCATCTACATACTTTAACAGTGAGTTAGCAAATCAAAGCAACCCGGGAATCCAGGTGTAAACATTTCTTGAAAAAATGTTTCTTCAGGTGAATAAGGTTTTTAGAGGCTACCAAGAAGAGGTGGTTTAGTGGTCAGTGAATATAAGCACAGCCAACCTACTTAAATTCCGACAATATCGATCACTATTAATTGCTATACATGCAGCGTCGTCTATTATGCTATTATTACTGCTTCAACATCTTAACAGTGAAACACGTGTAGAACGAGAGGAAACATGTCAGCACCAGTAAGCAGATGGAACCTAATCATTGACTTAAGTATTATGAACTCACGTTTTAGCCGTACTTAACACTACTCGGAAACCCAGACCGTTACAGGTGATAAAAAAAACTTACGGGAAGTGCAGGACTTCATATACTAAGCCATAACTATATAACTTTACACATATACTATGAAAATTCCTATTCGAAGCGCAAATACATATGTAGAGGTTCAGTTTTCTATAGTCGATCCTGTAAGGGCGTCCCAGTTATTGACCCCGGAGACTCGGTTTACTTGATCGTCGTTTCCGAAAATTTTTATGACTGCTATGATGACCAGTCTTACATATAGACATTTTTCCAGTCCTAATGTAAGCTTAGGAGAAATAACCAGTGCTCTGACCAATAGTGGTAGTTTCTGATAAAGAATTTTACTTTTCAAACACGAAGAAAAGCATTAAAACCCTTAGATAAACATACAGTGTTCCCCTTAGTGGAATTTTCTCAAGTTCATTTGCACCAGATTACTTTACGTTGTGTAAAGTAATCTGAAAATCTCAAGTGTCCACGATACTTTGTAATAATACAGACTACTACAACACAACACAAAGCTCGAGGTATTGAACAGAAAACTTTCATAAACTTACACAACCGGTACTTAGATAAGGGAGATAAAGGAACAATATCATATTTCACACTTTGGTATTTTAATGCCTGTAAATAGGTCAGTGTGTGTAAATGAGAAATCATACTGTCTTTAAGTGCCTTCTGAATATCAGGCAAATCATACTCCACAAACTAGCTATCAAGAGTTTGAGGTATCCCTTGTAGAAAACAGCATACGTTCTCATGTTTATGCATGAAAACGTTTCAAATCACCCGGCTAATAGGGGAGACAACAAACAAATATACGAGGGAAATCAAGTAAATCTGAAGTTGAAATTGGTAACAAGACAACTCTGAGACCATCAGGAGAATTCTAAATCCTTAGTTCCAATGAATACGGGTTTGAACTGACATTTTGACTCAACCAACCTCACGAGGCAGAGCACACGTATTTGAACGCCAGGACTCATTGAACCCACTGCATGATGATGCCTAAGAACGACTCTGATAGGTTCCACATTACAACCTTGAATATGAATGGAGCCTAACGTCGTCATCACTGACCAAATGAAGATCTCACACTTGTAAAACGAGCAACTCTTCATCGATCTTACAGCAGCGCCACTAACCGCGAAATGGAAGTTTAATTACAACCTTTATTGGACAATAAGAACAGTGAAACTTCCGTAGTCTCTGAAGATTGATAAACGTCTACACGTTCTGAAAGACATTATCTTCAAAAGAACCTGGAAGACCGCTTTTCGAGAACTAGTTCTATCAACTTTCTAACCTTTTCACTTATTTTTTGTGCGTTACAACATCGTGTTGGATTTGTAATTTTTGTGGTGCACTAAAACAGTTGCGTTATACCTACACGTACATATTTGTGTTTTCTTCCTGTAAATTTCATAAACCGCGAACACAACGGTAAAATCCTAATCATTTTTATCAGACACTCATTTTATTTTTCCGGCCGACTCGAAAGAACGATAATACGGGAGGAAAAAGGCGGTGCTTTTGCGCCATTTTTTTGTATTTTGATCTTTTTATGCAATTCCAAGGGGCTAATCCGTATTTCAGGAGGGTGAAAGTTTGGCGTGCTATGGTCCATTTCTCCCAACTGAACGCAGTTGCAAGTAACTTCAGATACCCAGTTTTCAACTATCAATTCACACCCGGTGCTGATCTTTCTTGTCTTGCCAAGTATATTAGGTTGATAGCAAACGTTCAAGCACAAACCCTGATTCCCTGTCAAATCAAAAACTATTCCTCAATCTTACAAATGACCTCCCGAGTAGTCTAATACTATTTCCAAACCATGAGTCAGTTAAAGCTGAGCCACCATGGAAAAGCTGGAAGCAGTGGACGGTGGGACAATTTTGTGGATTAATTGAAGTTAGACATTAACACCGTTAGATGCCTGCCCGGTGGTCTACAGGTTAAACGTTTGCGCGCGAGACCGAAGGTCCAGGGTTTGGATCTCGCGAGGCGGGATCGTGGACGAGCACTGCTGACGGGTCTCATACTAGAATGAGACGGTCGTAAAGTGCTTCCCAATTTTCCGTGATGGTCTTGACTTTATTAACTCAATAATATATGTGATAGTTAAAAAAGAGTAACTAGGGCAAATATAAGCTTTTTATATTTTCTGCTTCTTTCATAACATCGGTTGACACTATACTCTGAATCTACTCTGCAACCCGTTTCAATAATTTCACGTATGAAATTGTAGAGAATGCCATGCTTTTTAATATCACGGACTAGTCTACAGTGGAAAAAAACTTAGAAACAGAGAAACATATGCTCTCTAGCGATTTGCTTCGTGAGAAAATCTGTGTTCTTAGTTAGAGGCTGGGACCGGTGGAAGGAGACCATATCAAGTAAGGGTAAGCTACTCAAAAAAGTAAATGAAATATGGTCGCATGCTGTTATGAGATGACAGAAGTTAAATTCATATATCAACTGAATCCTGACCAGTAGTTCAAAGGTTAAGCAGTACGTTGAGAGACGGAAGATCCTTAGCTTTACTCGTGATGATACCGTCGTAGATGTGTGTTTCTGTAAAGTTACGGACTATGATAAAATGTTTTACAAGTGTTCCGAGATTTTCAAAGGCTGTTTGACATAGGTTAGCTCGTGATATTAATAGAACTATTTTTTAATTTATATAATTGTTTGAACATGTGTCATACAGACTAACCTGTTGATAGTTGACTCGAAAGGAACGCCGCTAAACATATGACTCATTTTTTGTTGTCTGAAAATTTCACATTTATTGGGTCAAAACAAATGGAACTAACGAATGATACTCTTCTACTGACTAACTAAAAGATAAAAACGTTTCCATAATTGAGGACGAATTTCAAAACCGCGGCGTGACATTTTGAAATTCAGAAACCCTGTAATTGCATTGATTCTAACGCTTCATACGTAACTGATAAAAATTAGTTTTGGTTTCTTAGTGTATTGTGATCAACATGTCAAGTCCCAGTGGGTCAATGGGCACTATCTACCCTTTGTCTTACCATGAAGAATACTTTGTGAGTGTGGAAGTATCACGTGGAAGGTGTGAATAAGGCGGAACGATATTGACAGATAGATTCGATAAAGTATTTTCAACAGTTGAGACAGTCAAATGAAACAAAAAAATTTATACCAGGTTTCGATTATCAATTTTTTTATAATAACTTGTGGTCACTAATAGTAAGTTCTTGAAAAGAATGGTAAACAACGGCGGCACAGCGTACTCCGGGTTGTTTGAATCTGGGGTGAGTATTGCCAGAAATTCGTTTGTGAATGACCATCTTATACAGTCACCTCTATTTAAAATCGGCTTCTTTCTGTCCGAGATACTTTTCGTAAACAAGCTTAGGTACTAAAGCACAGTCAAATTCACAGGAATTAATCCTTCAAATCATGTTGATTTCGGCTTGCTAATGTGTAAATTCAACATGTTTTTGAACATTTTAATACATATGATCTCTCTCTACTAGACCTTTATGATGCTTATAAATTTACTTTGGGCCAAATCTTAAGATTTGTCGTTTTTCCGTATTATAACTTAGCTGCTTAAAATATAGTGTTATTCCTCGTTGAGTTAAGTTTACTGTTTTGATCGTCAATTAGGTATCAAAAATACTGTCTCTCAGTTGAATTTATTCCAGTTAAATTGAACTTTTATGTACTGACTTTGCTTTTGTGTGTTTATTAGATACTTGGGTGACTGACTTGATTCATTAAATTGAGGTTTGAAATTCTTTTACATATCCATTTTTGTGTTACCACTTTTAGTTCAGTTTTAAGATGGTCAGCTCTGCTGACAAGTGTGATTAGTCATATTGCTTATTCCCTGTGGAAGAAGGAATGCAATGTGATGGATATGTTGACTAATATTTTAGCTAAAATCTGGGAGTTGGACGTTATTCCATCTGACTGGTCACAATAACTTATCGTCCCAACATATAAGAAGGGGTCGAAATCATCCCGTTATCGGACGCCTAACAAAGACTCGTGGACTGCACATACAAAAAAAATCAGGCTGGCTTCAGACCTGATCGTGGCTGCATCGACCACATATTCACTATTCGTCAGATCTTGGGACACAGGCATTCTTATCGGCGTCCGATAATTATGGTCTTTCGTGACTTAGGATTGAGGTTCTGTGTCAGTGTGTCATTGAAATGTGTACCTCAGATGTGCATAAAACTTGTAAAGGCTCTTTATTTCAACACTACAAGTCGAGTCAGAGCTTACAGATAACTGTCATCCGATCTTGCAACCTCATGTGGTGTCCGACAATGCTGTCCACTACCTCCATTTCCGTTTAATTTCATCACAGACCTATTGCTGGGAATAACATTCTCGTCGACTGAATTTTCAGGAACTAATCTCTTTGCAGGAGGCTCACTTATCGGCTTAGACTACTCAGATGGCATAGTTATGTTTGATGAAGACGCTGATAAAATGCAATCTCTTGGTAGCACTGAGCAACAATGCCAGGTTGTTTGGGATGCGTTTCTCCCCATGTAAATGCAAGTTGATTCTTCAGGACTGGCCTGAGTGAACACCTGAACTAAGGATTAGGCGCGAACTATTTGAACGCGTGGACACGTCACTTATCTTGGAAGTCTGATCAGCCCTAGTGTGTTGGTGTCTGACGAAATCTTTGCACGGATTCGAAAAGCTCATTTGGCTTCTGTCAACTGACGTCACCTATGGCGAAGGCAAGATATCCGTCTACTAATCAAGGGACGAGTATATTGCGCAACGGTTCGTTCTTTTCTACTTTACGACTGCGAAGCGCGACCATTAAGAGTAGCAGATACTCGTAAACTACTAGTATTTGATCACATAGCTCGCATCTGCTGGAATCACTGGGTAAGTGATAGTGAGGTTAGACGTGGAGTATTAGGGAATAACAGTAAATCAGTCAATGAGGTTGTAAATCTTTACCAACTGAGATGGTTGAACCACGTGGTACGATGCGCAATGCTGACCAGTGTTGGAGACGGTTGGAAGAAAGTCAGGGGCGGTCAAACCAAAACGTGTCATCAGTGCTAGAAGTCACTAAATTCTGGTCTGAACCATGTTTGTAGATGCAGAATACTTGGTTGGGGTTCGCGTGAATATCGTAACCAATGGTTGGAGACTGTGTAACATGGACCACAATGTTGTAGATGTATACACTCTGTTTTCCCTTAAACTATAAGGTTAAAATCGGTTCATATCTTTCTGCGAACTAATTCTTTCTTCCTGTGCTATATCCTTATATGCAATCTTTCTTTTATATATTACCAACATTAAATTAACCAGTTCTAGTTATATTTTTGCCAACTGATCTGTTTCTCCCATATTTTATTATTATTATCTCACTCTTCTACATTAATTTCTGTTCGTTGTCGTTCTTTTACTATAACGTTCTCTATCTCTTCACAACCTCATTGTTATTGTGCTATTGTGTGTATTTGGTGCTCTCTTGTACCAATGTTTGTTTATTCAAATAAATAAGATAAATAAATACATGCTTGTTTTGAAAATCTAGTCTTCTGTCATAAATCTTTATTATTTAATCAGTGTTTTCATCTGAACTCTGTATTAATTTGTTAATAGCAGTGACGATATTGTGAAAAATGTCCAATTTTGCCAATCTTATGATCACCACAAATGCATCAAAATTAAGATCTGAAAAACGTTATCCGCTTGATATAACTTTGGGTCAATTGAAGGTATTAGTAATTCAGTTCATTAATTAGTCATTTTTAGGAGAAGCTAGTTTTAATTACAGGTTGCGATAACCGTACAATGAAAGTAGAATTGTTTGATAATGAGGATAGACCCTTGGGTCAATTAGTTGGTGATGATAAACCACTTTATGATTTCGGGATTGAAAATGGGATGCACATTCATGTAGCAGATCCTACGATACAAGATGGAGCATACGATCAAGTTGAGGAACCGGTTGAAACTTACCAAATATCCGCTGAGGAGTATGCAAAACGTGAGGGTACGTTAATGACTGTTGTTTGTCATTATTAGACTTGTGTATTAATGTTTGTACTCAATTTTACAAAGTTATTAAAGCCTTTCTTGTAATTTGAGAGATAAGTATCAATCATGTGCTAACAGGTCGGGTATTTTTGAATGTTCTTGAATGTTATTGTCGCCTCATTTAACTGATTTAATGCCCTGTTTCTCAATTTTTATATGAAGAATCTCAATATGTAAAGAAAATTGTAAGTCAGTCAGTAACAACGTAGAACTTCATACGTACGTACATCAGTTCGAGTTGCCACACCACATTAGCACAGAGATGCATTGGTCGATTCATGGACTTGTGCCATGTTTTGGTCTGACCGCCCCTAGCTTTCTTCCAATCTACTCCTATACAACAAAACATCGCACATCGAAGCAGTCGGTGGTTGGGCATACGTAACACATGTCCCAGCAATCTCAATTGATGAAGTTTTACTACGTCATCAATTGATTTGCCATCCTTACCTAGTACCCGTTTCCTAACAACTGCGTTACTTACTAGATGGTCCCAGGATATACGAGAAATGTTTCGAAGACACCTATGATCTAATACTAGTAATCTACGAATATCCTCTACTCTTACTGGCCATGTTTCATTGCCATAGAGTAGGACGGAACGAACTGCTGCGCAGTAAACACGTCCTTTGATTAACAGACGGATATCCCTCCTACGCCATAAATGACGCAAGTTGGCAAAAGCTAGTCGAGCCTTCTGTATCCGTGCTGAGGTTTTGTTACACACCGGATCACACGAGACCACATGAGACTCCCAGGATAAGTGAAGCGGTCTACATACTCAACTACTTCACAACCTATCATTAGTTCAGGTGTCGATGTAACCTAACCCTGAGGGAGAGGATCGCATCACGAACATGCTTGCATTGTTGCTTAGAGTGGTCAGAAGACTCCGCATTTTGTCAGCGTCTTCACCAAATAAAACTATGTCATCAGCATATTCTAAGTCAACAAGTGAACCTCCCGGTAGTTCAACCCCTGGAAATCTAGACGAGGAGAGTGTTATCTCTAAAAGTACGTCGACGACAAAGTTGAACAAGAATAGAGAGAGTGGACAGCCCTGACGAACACAACTTGAGGTAATCAATTCTGATGACAGTTCGCCATAAGCTCTCACTCTACCAGTTGTGTTCGAGTAGAGAGCCTTTATAAGGCTAATTTACTTCTTTGGTACTCCTTTCAGTGACAAACACTGCCATAGAACCTTACGATCAACAGAGTCGAATGCCGCCTTAAGGTCGAGAAATACTACCACGTGTGTCTGTGTTCTAGAACCTGACGTAGTGTGAATATCTGATCTATACAACCACGTCCAGGTCGAAAACCGGCCTGATTTTCTCTAGTCTGCTCTTCACAAGCTTTAGTTCGGCATCGAAGTATTATTGAAGCTAATATTTTAGACACTATATTAGTCAAATTGATTTCTCTGTGATTGTCACAAGAAGACTTGTCCTTTCTTAAAAACTGGCACAATCAGTGATTGAGACCAGTCAGCTGGAATTACGTCCAGTTCCCAAATTCTATCTAAGACCTCAGTTAATCTCACTGCTAATAGTGGACCGTCATCCTTAAAAATCTCAGGAGTGAACCTATCAGATCCTGCTTCTCTCCCACGCTTCAGATTTCCTATGGCTTTTTCAACTTCGTAAAGAGACGGAGGACCTACATTAACTTGCCATTCAGTTTGACTGGAGATCGTGGGATACCGAAGTGCGGCTGAAAGCCAGTTGATCTGATCCCTAAAGTGTTCTGCCCATCGATCCAATCTCCTGGATTGAGAGTGAATAATATATCCATCTTTCTCTGAGAGTGTTTCGCTAACAGTCGGTTTCCTAATACCGGTTTCCTTAACAAGTCTGAACAATTGTCTGCTATTACCTATTGCCGCTGCCTTTTCTATCTCTCTTGCTTTCGCTACCCACCATTGTTCAGGATCATTGCGTAGACTTCTTGTCAGCTTGCGCTTAAGCTGACTCCGCTCTTCATTATGCTCAGAGCCAGGTGGAATGAGTTTCCGAGCATCTATGAGTGCGATAGATGCTGCTGAGATCCAGTGTTTCTCCCTAACCTTGTGGTTTACCTTACTAACAGATATCACCGCTGTTTCCACAGCTTTTCGGATATCATTCCATGCTGCCTCGGGGTGGGCACCACATACATGGCTCCTTGACCGTTTTTCTAGTTCTTCCTGAAATATACTCGTAGCTTGACTATCATTAAGTAGACCCCTAAGAGGTTTCCTTGCAGTATCTTTCCTACGTCCAGTAAGACGCAGGCAAATACGCGCTCGTACTAGAGCATGATCTGAATCTAAGCATGTGCTCCAGAATGAGCGACAGTCTTCTATCGAGCCCCTCCATCGGTGGCTGATAGCGATGTGATCTATTTGGGTCCAACGTTGGGAAGAACTGGGGGGTCGCCATGTTAAAAGATGTTTTTCCTTATGCAAGGAACAGGCGGTTATCTGGACATAGCTGCAACAGACGGTCGCCATTATCTGTTCTTTGAGCCACGATGCTATAAGATCCACCCAGATGTCTTCCCCTTTCGCATAGTTTACCTACTTGAGCATTAAAGTCAACGGCCACTATTACTACATCAGAGCGCCTAGCTTTTAGGAGGAGGTCGGAGAGCTTTCCGTAAAACTGATCTTTTACATCATCTACGCTGCAGTCAGTGGCAGAATAGGCAGAGACGACGAAGAGGCAACGACGAGTGTCCCTATCTTTCCGAGTCCTTACTGTTCCGTTCAGTCGGACAGCGCACAAACGACTGTCTGCTGGGATCCACTCTAAGAGAGCTAGTTCTGCCCTGGGACTCAATGCTATACCTACTCCGGTAAGGCCACGGGAAGCAGAATCAGGGCTTCCAGATACAAGAAGTGTGAATCGAGTCGGTTCTTTATTTTGGCATGGTGAGGTCAAATGAATGAAGCTACTCGGATCCTGTATGCGCGTTTCGGAGACGCAGCACACATCGATGGCGCGGGATTCTAAAGTCCTAGCTAAGGAAGCCTGCTGTCCTATTTGGCACAGTGTTCGGATGTTAAAAGCTCCTACGTGTAGTTTAGAGCGTGGTTTCAGGAGACCAGGAATAGCGTTCCGCGTACTCGAATCGTTTGCCCTAGCGGTGCGAGGTGATAAAGAGACGTGAGGAGGGTTAGCCATGGAGATAAGAGAGATATTAGAAGGTGTAGGAAGGATTTGAATGTGACCAACTTGGTCTCGTGTGCTGTTACGGGTATGAGGGCTGATATCACTTCCCGGCTGCCCACACCATGGAAGTGTATTTCTTGAGGTAATTGGATTATTGTTGGTCTTAACGACCTGGGAGCGTGACCGCAGAGCCCAAGGGACAACTGCTTGAGGCCGGTCGCGCACGGCCTTTTTGTGGAAGGTTTTTAATGTGTTAGCTCCGTTCTTCAAAGGGCCTTACCGCCGGAGACGGAAATCCTTGAGGTAAGGTGTGACATTTTTAGGGTCGACCTTTTCTAACCCCACCCCTCCTTGTGGGAAGGCAGCATCGCTGCAGATGCTGGTTGTCTGAGGGGAACACCTTACTGCTGTCACACCCCTCTACAATCAGCAGTACGACTTCGCCCTAAGACCTTGAGTAGTTGCCTTTAGTCTTACCGTTCTGCAATCGACCTGCCTGGTATGTTAGAATTTACAGGAACATATGTTCCAGCCAATATAGCTCGGTCGGGTCATCACGATAGGCAAGCCCGACCACTGCGTCAAGGTAGCAGCTTCGATCGGGAACGAAAATTGTAAACCATCTTTCAACTAAACAAAGAATATCTTTGATTTATACTCATATACAAATCTCTGCTAAATTTTTTGTCCTTCGATACCAAGTATTTGTGACATCGTAACAAACATAACATCTTTTTACTCTTTAAGAATCAGTATTGGCATGGAAACGGCGTAACAAAATTGGGCAGTTTCGAGACGTTGATCCTGAAGAAAAGAAACGGACAGAAGAACAACGTCAGTTGGCTGAATTTCACGAAAAACAAAATGCTGAATCATTATCTATAGGTTCCCGGTAGGTGGAAATCTTTCTACAGTCCTTTTCTCTGTATGTTAAACATATTTTGATTTAAATGTTAGACAGATACTACCACATTCCCTTCAGATAGCTATTGAACCTATGTACAAATAACGATTACTATCCCATAACCGCACATCTTAATGAACTATACTTTCAGTCATACCCGTTGAAGAGTTCAGCGATACTACTCATGTATACATGGATTTATTTCCCGAATTTTTATGGTTTCTTCCAGATAGGTTTTTTTATTTTTATTTTTCATCTGATTCGCTCATGTAAAGTTTGGAAGTTGGTACCGAAAGACTAAGAAAACTTGTCCAAAGGGGATAAATATGACAATATCAGTGGTGAATAAAATCTAAAGAACTTATTTCCTTTAATTTTATTGCGCATAACAGATACCCCTTTACAACGAATCGTGTCAGTTTTTATTACTTTAATCCACAATTTGTCTGAAAAGCTAAGGGATATTGTGATATCTGACTAAATTACATGGTATATTCTTAGACAAGATCAAATACATACAACTAATTAACTTTGAAATACTGGTATCCGGTGTTACACCCCTATTTACTTTGAAAGAAACAATATCCCCCAAAGATACCGTGTTATAACTGATCAGTAACCAAGAGCGAATCTAGATAAAACTCGTCCAAATGCACTTTACAACATGTTTCCCATCGATAGACAGATTTATAAATAGGCCAAAGAAATTCCGTTAGAACCACCTTTATCATTACTAATTGTAGAAGCCGTTATACAAAGACTTGAGGCCAAATTTTAGTCGATAATCAAACCAGCAAATGAACACGTAACGCAGATGATAGATTTGGTATCCTCCGGAGAGACAGGCTTGTTTATCAACATCTTCATAAGCGCAACGTTTACAAAGGGAGAACAATCACCAAACAAATATCCATTCCTGAATGTAGTAATCAGCAGGAAACGCAGAAACGGTTAAGAATCAGTTATAAAAGTAGAGCCATACGAACCAAATGGACGATTACACGAGCGCACAAATAGAGTTGCATACAAACACTTTATAAGAGCCAGAACTCACTGAAGCATCCTCACCACATGAAAAATTGAAGAAACCTACTTTCTATTAGTCTTTAACAGATCATCCCTACAATTTTACTGAAAAGTGTTTAGTAAGTTGGTGTACTATCGCAGTCACATTCGTAGACTAGGAAACAAATCGTTCTATTATGTGTGAAAATACCTCGGAAATCACTATAATGACTATCAAGCCATTCAGAATAAATGTCTCTCAAAAGCTAGCACAACAATGTAATTCTGTCTTGTGCAGACAAAATGACAATAACTTAAACTGATACATTATCTATTTGAGAAATTGTATTGATATTATCGAGCAGTACATTAGACAAGGTAGACTTATCCTTTATTTACGCGTACATAAACACAAGCTAGGAGTGAGACGAAATAACTGTTATCATGTATGTCTCTGGACGCAGACAGCTAACGTGACCAAAATTATGGGTCAAAGAAATTAAAGAATGCTGAGAACTTTCTAAAAGCCTCAATCTGTATTGAGTAATCACGTTGCCATGAATACAACAAGTTTAATAACTCGCATGATCAGAGGTCAACTAAGACATATAATGGGAATAAGATTACAAATGAAGATAATCAGTCACAAGCAGAGTTATCAGAGTGGACTGGTTTATCGCTCATGGGATAATCAAATGGCCCACTTATACGTGGAGCAAGCGCTAATGATATTGTCTAACAAGAAAATGAAAGTTTCACAGCTTAACCACTTATTTCATAGACGCAACACGCCGGAGTTCAATGTACACTTTTACCATATCTTTGTTTATGACTTAGTCTGTTAAAACAATAAATATGAATAGACTAAATATAAATCCGTAGTTAATACTTTGAGGCCTTTTTCTGTGTATTCTTATGGTTATGGAATATATAGTCTATAAATGTAATTCTGAGAAATTAGTTATTATGAATACCTAGAAATTTATGGTTACAGTTTCATTATAATTTTCTATTATCATTAAACTACTTACATGGATTCATGTTCTAACTGTATATATTTAATGCATCAGGTGTGAAGTTCGAATTCCTGGTCAACCGACAAAGCGAGGTGTAATAGAATTCGTTGGTAAGTATATAATCTATAAGTTTATTTTTATTGAACTTTTGATAGAATCCAATTTCCCAACTATTCCCATTCTGATGATATCCATCCTTTTGTCAAGTACACGTTTATGTACCTAATTTCCAGTAGATTAGTAGTATCACCTCAGTTAGCTGAAGGTTGAGTCCTTTAACTACTAAGTTTTCACTCTCCATTTGCACTATCAAGTGTAATATCATACTTTAGACTGTTTAAGGTATAGTAACGACTGACTAGTAGTGATAACAAGCTTCCTCTGAGTAAAAAATATATTTACGTACCTAAATGTAAAGGTATTCAACTTCAAATTGTGAATAAGTAAAAATAAGTTGAGGGTCGAAGTAATTATATCCGTCATTTCCCACTGATAATGGGTCATCCCGACGGGTCAAACACTCCGATCATAGTTTCTAACATGATTTTGCGAAAAATACTTTGCCAGTTATAGACAAAGATATTAAGCTTCAACTATTAATGTGTTTTGAACATCTATTTTTCGGCATCTACCATTTACGCTATTTATTATCATGTGCAAATAATTGTAACAGGATTCATCTTTTAAATTAAGTATTTAGAATTTTCAAAATAGAATAAATGATAGATGTGAAATGTTTCAAAATATATGCGTAACACCAAGTGATTCCATTTCGCTCTTTAAATCCATAACTTTTGTTTTCTAGAATCACACGAGATCCTAGTGTTAAGTTGATCTTGAAAAAAACTCGAGACCTTTCCGAATAAACTTTGTTCTCAATCATAGTAGAAATAATTCCATAAAAATATTTAATAACAACTATTTAGATTATAGGAAACATTTTATTTATTTGTTTAAACACATAAACATTGGTACAAGGAGGCACCAAATAGATATGGACCACATAAATCATTCGGTTTACGTAAGGGATGGGATACTGCCCGGGTGCCCAAACCGAAGCAGCCGGTTTTCTAAGGGGGTCACACCCGGAGCCTTCGACCCAAAGATCTAATCCACAAGGCAGTGAAGCAATGTTATGAGATGCAGTCCCATGGTAGCCGGTGACCAACAATTGGTTCACACACTATTTGTTCCTTCAGGATACTGGAGTCTATATACACCATTGGTTTGGAATCAAGGTTTTCCAACTCCCCTAGGTGATCTGTCCGTGTCCACCAACCCGGTCAAAGCGCCGGACATTCGCTTTTCGTTCTCTCAATTTCGTAAACAACAGTAGTGCCACGCGAAGGCAGTGGGTAGGAGTTCCCTGTCAGTGGTTGTATGCACGTGGCTATGTGAGAGCATTTGGAGAGGGAGAGCTGACTCTTCTCACTCTCGGCCATACCAGGGCATTTGAGGGTTATGGAAAACATAGTCAGTCAGAAATCCGGTCTAAAAAAGATATTTTATTAGGAATGTTTGTCTAAACGAATAGGAAAACATTAGAGAAATTTCCTTCTAAAAACAATATTTTTGAATATGTCATCAAAATATCCTCCCTTTCCCAAGGATTTGCTTCATTATAATTTTGGTATATAAAAAACCCCATAAAATCAATGTCTTTTTGATAAATCTATCAAATCTTGTTAAATTTTCCACTTTTTATATAATCTTTTATCAGTCCATATTGCCCCGTCATATTTTAAACTAAATAAATAGACCAGTAACATAACATTATGTAATTGTTATCTTCATTTTGTAACTACTTGCTGTGAAACAAGTTTACCAACTCGGAAAAATCGCATATAAAAATTATATATTTTACAGGTTTAAATATCAAATAATAAATTATAGAGATAAATGATCATACTAAACAAATAAACTTTCTATTGTCAATTACAATAGAAATTAACAATCCCAATAAATCAAAACAACTCTTATCAGTATCATCGTAAGTGGAGATGGTCTGTCAACTTGAATGTATCCGTTTCAATAAAACAAATCAGTCATTAAGATTACTTAAAGTTAGCTAGCGTTTGTAAATGAACACATTTCATCAGTTTAGTGAGAAAAGCATTCATCAAATATTCTTATCAAGTATATTTGAATGAAAGGGATTAACTTATTCGAATACATTCTTCACTCTAACCCATTTAGTGTGGATATGTCGCTGGTAATATTCATTAGCTAAGTTGTTTCAGTCTGTTTCGGCATACATGCATTTTGTCATAAGTATTGTAAGAAAAGTTGGATATTGGCTAGTAGTAAAATCCAGGACTTGTGTTTCGTCCTATTCGGTAATGACCAGATGAATTTACCTTTATCCTATTGAATAAGTCAGTGGTTATCTGGACTTAGTATCTGAGTGGATAATGCGTTTGTGTCTAAAGCGAAAGGTAATAGGTTGTAATCTCAGAGTGTACGTTCCAAATAGGACGAAATGCGCGTCCTGGATTCCACTGTAAGCCACCATTCATTTCTGCTTGAATGATTAGTATCTAGTTGATCCATAAAATGCCGAAATTTGAAAACATCTGAACAACAAAATAAACAAAACATTAGGAATAATGGCGAATGATCATAATTAACGAAATTAGGTGTTATGACCTTGAATCGCTTTTACCCTGTTGATACTTGTTATGACTCGACCTTGATCTTTCCAGTCTAAATTATGACCTTGACGCGATAGGGTGAGCGGCTTAACCTTGAGTCTATCACGCGTGAGTTCGAGAAGGGGTAGAGAGATAACTATTCTAGAACCTGATTGGTTGGCAAACACGCAAGTGAGAGAAGACAAGATAGTTGGAACACTGAACTCTGGATTCTCTGAATTCGGATTAGTACAAAAATGTACATGAATAAATAAGTGAATATCATGACCACGACGTACGATAATTTGGAAAAATACAGTTATGCCCGAAACGGGATTAGGGTAGAAAATACAGTGCAAAATATGTTTAAATTACAATATTTTCGGAACAAAAAAGGGTATGCTAGTGAATGATACATAGAACGAAAGCTCGTGTTATATAGAATAAGATAGGGACAAAAATAAATATAAGTGTTTTACAGGGTTTGAATGGAATGCAATAACGTCCCAAGAAAATAGCTTTCGTGATTGTCTGGGCTTCTTAATTCCCCGTTCATAACATTAGGATTTAAAAAGAGTTTGTTCCAGGAAACATTCAGTTAACTTGTCAGTATGCTTAACTCTCTATTGGTTTTATCATCAAAAAGGGCAGCCAATGTGATGAAAATTGAGAAAAGCCTGTGATTAACTAGCCTTATAAACCATGTTGCTAAACTTGATTATTATTTAAGTGGAATGCAGCCTTTAAAGTTCTTGAATTCTAAAATTTAAAAAAATAACGAATCATTCCTTTTGGTGCTTTGATTCCCATTTAATTGATCTTCATCACTTTGGATCTACAGATATATAGTCACCAATAAATATTTTGAAATTATATACAAAAATATTGTTGGTTTCTTTATGAAATCGATGGTGCTAATTGACATCGTATGACAATCAGACCTAATTTATCTTCAGAAATCTCCATACTCTAAGTATAAATTTACAATAAATATTGTATGGATAAGTGAACAATTTGATGAATGTTAAATCAACTTGCTTTTAGAATGATTTAGTTATCTTTTACGTTGGATGCAACCTTTATTGATATATAACCTTATGATAACCACCTAGAAGTGTTCTTTTTCTTCTGTATACACCATCCAAAAAGTATCAAAGATTTGAAGCATTAAAATGATATAAAATGCTATAGTTTTGATAAATATTCATTCCGAATTAATATGAAATTAATAATGAAATCTGAATACTTATAATAAACATTTTTAGGCCAAACCAAATTTAAACCTGGTTATTGGGTTGGAGTTCGTTATGATGAACCTTTAGGAAGAAATGATGGGAGGTGAGTTTTTTTTTCACAATACCTCAATACTTTCATTGATTTAAGGACTATAATTTATAGAGTTTATATGGGATGTCTATCACCAAATGTTAACTTCCAAGTATTGAATGTAGAGTGTAATAATTCTTCTGTTCAAATGAAATCTATCATTAGTAAGATTGTTATGTGTGTATTTGTGCATAGAAATTTGAAATTTGCAATTAATATATTCAAACAGAAATAGAGTTTTTGATAAGGACGACTTTTGAACGATACTAGACTGACCTTGATAGTGTCCACCTAACAACACGGACCAAATAAAGGTTATAAACTAGTGTGGGGAATTAGAATTATGATTCACAGTTGATGGTTAAGGCTAGTAATTAGATTTATGGTTTACATCACGAACTGACATCAACTGTAATGCAAAAATTATTTAGCCAAATGGATGAATGAATTTCGCGCCAAAATCCGAGACGTGTTATCTTATATCTGATTGGTTCGTCCGTAAATTATAGTCTCGCCGAGTTTTTATTAATATAATATATAATATTCATATAATTTCGGAGTATAATGATTAAAATATGAATTTGCACTGATTCATCAAATTGAATATCAAGCAACAAGCTTTATCGTTCAGTCATAAGTGAAGTAGAATCTATCCATATGTTCATCGGTTAGAGTTCTTATGTCATATGATCACAATGAACTAAAATTATCACGACAAATCCCAAAGTAGTAGAAATAGTAACAGTGTCAAGAGTAGTACGAAAGACAAAGTATAAACGTTATGATCCGAGAATAAGGAATAAAATAAAGCATAGAATAATTTTAAAACTAAGGATCTATAGAAATTTTCGGATCTCGTTATTGGTGTTAATTGTTACATTGGAGGATGGGTCATAATTAAACTAGGTGTTTTTCAAATGTAACATTTGACACGTGATTTCGCCGCTATGTGGATATACCTTTATATCAATACTCATCTGTAGCTCACAGTTCGAAAAGTTGGCTGATTTTCGTACACAACTGCTACATCGTATCGATTAGGACCCAACGTTAACGCTTAAGGGGGCTTATGAGAAATATCAGCGATTGACAAACCTGGTGATCAAGATAGGTTTGACGTCCAGGCAGTCCGAAATAAATTCCATCCTGATCCCAAAACCCCAACACACTTAGACGAAAAATCATCAGAAGAGAATTCTAAAGTCTCCCTGTCCCAGGTACTAGCATTGTAGTGGATGGGATTTTTCAAATTTATATTCATTCATAAACCACTATTGTAGGAAATGTTACACGGTTGTACATAAAGAAACATGGCAAGTAGCAAACTAGCCGCCCGCATTCAAGGTTTCGAAGAAGGTACAGATCTAGCGTACAGCCATTCAAAGTTTGTTCTGTATTTATAGTAAAGCAAGTGCACAAAAAGCTACCCAGGAAGTTTGTTTTAATTCTGATAACAGTTAAGTTGATAAGTTTATAATTGCGTACAAAAAGTCAATTTATTCAGCCTAAAGTTCATGTACTGAGCTTTAAGCCACACTATTTGTATGAAGACTATCGATACTACTTGAACGCTGTAACTGAAGTAAATATATGCGAGAGTTAAATTTTACTCTGAAGGTCATAAAAACCTTATCTGTAAGATACCTATTACTATCAGTGATAATAAAAACAGAAAACTAAAAAAATGTTAAGTTCATAAGTAAAAATGAGTGTTTAATTAAGTTCCCTGTGATTATCTAGTTTTAAAGTTGCAAATCAACATGAATCATCAGGAGAAATTTAGTCTTGAAACCTATTGGCTGATATCACTAAAACACAAATACATGATAAATCGTCAGTGACCTGTGTGCTTTTCGAGATTGTAACAACCCCTGATGCTGTTTCGATTAATAAAATGCAGTCATTTCCGAAAAGTCAAATATGAATTACAGCTCGTAACGAGAGATTTATTACTAAATATTATATTTTAAGTATTTTATTTTGATGAACTTCTAACATTTAGACTGTAAATGAACCAGTAAACATTAATTTTGTTATTTGCTTTTTTTTAGTATTGATGGAGTACGATATTTTCAATGTCCGGAAAAGTATGGTGCATTTGTTAAACCGCAATATGTTGAAGCTGGTGACTTTCCTGAACTTGGTATTGATGATCTAGATGAAATTTAATTATTTATGATCTTTATATCAATCTCCTTGTATAAAAGTGGAAATATTTTTATACATTCAATGGAAAATGTATCAAGCATAATATATTTGATAACTTTCAATGTACAATAAAAAAGGTCATAATTGGTTCATTTTGTTTATGATCGTTAATACAATGAAATAGATGGTCACGGTGTATAGTTTTTGTTCATTCGTTAAATACAGAAGAAATAATGAATTCACTGTTGACACTAAATAATAATTTCTTCTTACTTTATCATCTATCACTTATTAGAATGTAATTAACCAGCTTTACCTGTCGAAATAAAGGTGTTTAATCTATCGAATGTTAAAAACTGTCTAGTTGAATTAAAACTGTTTAGTACATCACATAATGACATATTTTCTTGTTTTTGAACACTTGTAAAACACTATTTATAGGTGGGTAGAAGTAAAGTGTATGTATATACATTTGCTCGTTTATCATAGGTTGTTCTTGATTGAGCAATGTTCGGATTATGTGTATGATGGGGAGGATAACATGTTAATTTATATAAACTCACATCGATGACAAAGTATACGGTAAATATTTTAAAAAAATCTAAGCAGATTTTTAGATATGTACTTAGTTTCTTATAATGATAAGTAATCAACCTCCTATCATACTTCACCTTCATCCACTTTAGTGCATTTACGACGCTTTACCTCATTATGTAATCTGAAAAAGTTTATAGCAATCCACTCCTACTCAATACCACTACGTAGAAACTCAAATATCAGTAGACTTCAGCTTTTAATTGTCCATTTAAAAACCAGTAAGGAAACGCAGTATATATTTTAGGTGCTAAATTTGTCACTTTTACAGCTGCAGTAATGGTATCGATATCTAGTCCAGTTTACCGTGTGATATTCTGAACATCATTCTTAGTTAAACAAGGTATTAGTAAAGTTAGAAATTAAGTCGGCTCCGTGTAAGAATGGAGTATGTTCCCGGTATTTGGAAGAGCTCTATGACAAACCTAACTTATCATGCTTAGTATCCTTCTGCGGGTAGGAATAACAAGCATCGCCGTGGACCTTAATACATGTACAAATTAGTCACTTATCTACTAAAAGTTGAGTGACTTTAACTACTGTAAATTAGACTTGAGAAAAACAGCGAACTGCCCGTTGTACATCCACTGAGCCAAATGCTTGATTTCCTTATCGTTAGTTGAATTTTTAGTGATGATTGACAACTAATCGGTATTACAACCGTCTTCAATAGTAAAACATCTACATCTAATTATTTGTATGAAAACAATGTCTGATGCGACTTGTTGCTTTTCCAACCAACCAGTTTATTTAAAGTATGACAACTAATGTTTCGGTAATAACTAAGTTTAAAGGTATCATAGATCATTATAAGTTGATTTTTGACCCTGTATTCCAATAAACTAAAGGTAGTCTGATTTTATGTCCTTCGTTCGATACCAGTGAAAACGAATTCATGCTTATGATAATTTATTATAAAAATAGATGAATGGTGGCTATCAGTGTAATCCAAGACGCGCGATTCATTCTATTTAGGATTGGCTAGTATCACAGCCCTCACACATATCGGATGAGATTTGTGTGGCGCATATGTATTTGGTGCCTCTTTGTACCATTATCTATGTGTTGAAATAAAATAAATAAATAAATGGCTAGCTGAATGCATCTGCTGCTCAGGGTTGATATTCACTCCGGTTTTCGAACCTAGTACCGTTCTCTTCAAATAATATTTCATTGAAAACTTAGTGCAGATAACGAATAGCATTTACATAACAGTTGTACTCGTATTATTTTAAATAAAAAAATTTCCATCCCGTTTACTCCCTTAAAACTACTCTAAGGGAAGTCCTACTCACAGCCTTCTCGCAACATTATTGTTGTTTACGAAATTGAGAGTACGAAAAGCGAATGTCCGACGCTTTAACCGGGTCGGTGGACACGGAGAATCCACCTAAGTGAGTAGGAAAACCCTGATTTCAAACTAGTGGTGCACATGGACTCCATAATCTTGAAGGAAAATGGGGTATAAGCAACTGTTGGTCACCGGCTACCATGGGACTGCATTTCCTGACGTTGTCCCACTGCCTTGCGAATTAGAACTCTAGGTCAAAAGTTCCGGGTGTGACTCCCTAAGAAAACTGCCTGCTTCGGTTTGGGCACCCGGGCAGTATCTAAGCCCCCACACAAATCCAATGATTTATGTGGCGTATATCTATTTGATGCCTCCTTGTACCAATGTTTGTGTTTAAATAAATAATAAAAAACATCAGGGAACAAATTAGGTTTCATTTCTATGGGGTATGTAGGAAAATTGATGCGTTTTAAACTCGATGTCTATTAATAACCCTTTGTATCATAGAGTTCGAATATAATGGGTGTATCGTTTTTTTTAAAGTAACGGTCTTATATTTCACAGCAATGAAACCGTTTAGCAAATTTTGACATTCAATACAAAAACGGTTATGTCATTGGGTCTCAACTAATCGAATTAAAACAATGGACAGCCAATTAATAAAGTATTACAAGGAACAAAATGTTTGCTCCTAAATACATGAGCACACATTTTGAAATACATGTTAACCAATCACTAATTACTGAATTTTTATCAATAGGAGTTAGGAGTCATAATAACCGTAATAAGCACTGGCTTGTGCAATGGCGTGGAGTTTAATTTGTTTGTATTAGTTGTTTGAATCTTCTCATTAATGTTTAGTACTTTATCTAACCAGTCTCGGAGTGAACATCAACTCTGCAATGCAGGTACATCTGGCTGACTAGATCTAAATAGGATGAAACACATGTACTAGATTCCACTACTAGTCACTATCCATTTCTGTGACTTAATGGTAATATCAAGCGAAGACGCACAAAATGCATATATGCCAAAAGAGGCTGATCAATTGCAGTCCTCAACGTTAATGGGAAGTTTCAAACAACCAATACAAATGAATTACAATGTATTTCATATATTAAACGTCAAATTCATAACCAACCTCATAGAAAATGTGAATTCATTTTACATCACAATCGTATTCCTTAGCTATCAAGGATTAGGCATCCTAGAAGTTTCATTACCACAAGCAATAATAAGCCAGTGTTCAACATTTGTTTTTGGACTTCAACCTAGCAGTAAATATCTATTGGGACTTACTGACATAATGGCCAAGTAGTATGAAAGTATAGCTTTTGAGACCGTCATACGGAGTATTGTTTATATTTTCACTGAATAATTAGCAGGCTCTTAAACTATTTTTTTCGTGTTTTTTTTTCATTTCTAAGCTTTTGTTTGACCCATAAATCATTGTCATATTTTCCCAAATTTATCATTAATTATTTCCCTAATACTCCGGTTTTTATCACTTATGAATAAGTTATTCACACAATGTAATTTTCTGGTTCCGTTGCTGTGCATTGGGCACTCCAGGTATATTATGCGAATTTCGAGTAATGATTGAACAGAATACAATCGAGAATTAATCAGCTTTCTGTCTCCGTGTTCTAACTAGGCATTGGATTAAAAGATCGAGAACCAATAACAGCCGGGATCTTTGTTGTTGTTCACTAGTCGCAGTAAATAGGTTACCGGTCCTACAAGCAGCATATGTGAACTGATCAATAGGTGGTTCCGAGAATAGAATTCCTACTGTAATAAATATTCGAACAAACAAACTCCAGGACTACATAAGCAACCGTTTCTGTTTTCATCGTTTTATCACTTACAAAACAAACCATGATTTTAATGGTTGATATTTCTAGAATCAGTAAACTAACAGACTGCGTTTTGCTGAAGAATCCCAGCGAACAGCAAAGTAACTAGAAAGCGCTCACTGTCATACAAGATTTCATCTTTTGATATTAGATGACTTAGAATACTACTTATGAATTCATTAGAAATTCGTAGCATGACTGCATTGAGTTGCATGAGTAGTTTGGAAAGAACCATATCAAAATTAATATAATTGAGAAAAAACGTTTATTCAAAAGATAAGTATCTAACAATTTACATTTTTGTAACTATAAGTCTACAGTTCAACAATTGAAAAGTAAACTGTATTTTACAGTGTAAAATAATGGGCGATATATTACAGCGGGGTCGTTAGTGGTGGTTAACTTTTGTTGGATTCTAGTATATCTTTGGCCTGATTGATCTTAGCAGCCAAGTATGGGGAACCACCTGAATTAGATATACAATAAACATATTACACTTGAGCAAATTGAAAGATTATACTTTGTTCAAAATATTCATATAAGAAAAATAAATAAATACCGAAAACTGACGGGTATGAACCTGGAGACAATTTATGAAATGATGGTTAAAAGTACACCTTTGTTGTTTGTCAGGTAAGCCATTTTTTAAAGTTGGACAATAACTTTTTTACGAATACATCTTTCATATATAGTTAATAGTTTTATTTCATTATAAGTTAGTCACTTCGTCTGTTATGAAATTAGTTTACGCATTTCATTTACGTAAAATATTCATTAACAAGAAACTTCATTTTGATCCTTGTTACTGTGAACTGACAAAAGCTGTAAAAGTAGTAGAGCTTGAGTAGCAAGCTTTTATTTTATTCTTTTCAAGAAGCCGATGGAATATAGATAGACAAAATAACTGTTGGATTACTCTGTTGATAGAAATCTCAAGTTTACATTGAAGTGTAAATACTAGGGTAGAAGTATGCAAATATATGAACAAATCCTTCTTAATGAATTTGGAGAACTAAATTGTGAATAGCTTACATTAGTACACTGACCATTATTATTATTATTATTACATGGATTTTGGTCAGGAAGCTTACACTTTCTGATACAGCTAAATACGGCAAATAATGATCATGTTCCGGGTTGCCATTCCATAGTAGATATCCAACTTACTACTATACCAGTTAGCACAGAATACTGATATAAGCAGTGGGTGAGACATGTAAAGTTATGAATTAATCACTGACATGAGGGGAACTACGATCCTTTGCATAGATCACCGAATAACATTATTGAAAATCTCGGAAGTGGAAACTTATATTTTCCCAAATATTAGACACTCTATAAACTTATGGGTTGGATATTCCTGTCTGATGAAGTAGTTCAACAGTTTAAGTAACATAATTTCTTAACATAGCAAAGAAAATTGACAATAAATAAGCACCAAAATGAAACTACGAGAGTGAAACCAAAGAACGAGGTGCAGTTATATAGAATAACAAACCCGAATATTCATGCAAATAAACGAGAATAACCGAGATACATGATTACGAGAAATTAAGTTGTTTCGAACCACCAGCCTGTATATTTCTGCAAAATTCAACTAAGAAGCCCAGATTGAGCCCATGCAGAAATCTACGAGGGTGAGCAATATGTAGATAATTTACAATCTTAAAACAAAAACAACGAGCGAAATTTAATAACTAATCGT